ATCATCCTTGTCATCATCATTCTTTTTCTCATTCCCTTTCCCCTTATTCTCTCTCTCTTCAACTTTCTGCAATATTTCTTGATGTGCCCCTTCATGCCACAATGATAGCACTCAATATTAGCAAACTTGTTGGACTTGTTTCTGCCTTTATCTTTATTCTTCTAACCTCTGCTCTTACTTATCCCCCTATTTTCTGTAACCAAAACCTCTAACTGTGAACTGGATCCCTATGATTTTTTTCTCATTTCTTCATTCAAAACACTACTCTTAGCCATATCCATATTGATTAAGCCATCTAGAGCTGAATTAGACAATGGCATTCTGAAGGTCTCCCATGAGTCCGGCAATGTACCAAGTAAACATAACCCCTATACCTCAGCATCAAACTTAATACCCATTCCAGCCAGCTGATTAATTATTCCTTGGAAAGTGTTAAAGTGATCTATTATTGGAGTCCTATCTTAGTATCTCAAAGTCATCAAGTGTTTTATCAAAAACATCTTGTTATTTCCAGTCTTCCAGACATACAACTGTTCAAGCTTATTCTAAAGTGTGCGTGCATATATCTCTTTAACAATATGATTTTAAACACTATCATCAACCCACTATCTAATATATCCACACATTTGTCGATGTAGTAATGTCCATTCTTCATCAAATTTATTATCAGGCTTCACACTAGCAAACACCGGTAAATGAAATTACTTCACATAGAGAAGGTCTTCCATTTTTCCTTTCCAAGTGTGGTAATTTAAACCATTCAAAGTGACCATTCTACTTAAATTAGCTTCCATTATTTAACACAAGAAATTCAGCAATAATAATAACCAAGCTCTGATACCACTTGTTAGGAGAATTCAAAAAAGACTGATTCAATCTGAATTTCTCACAATTAAATTAGCAAAAATATATCCTCCCTCTATGTGTAAATCTGTTAGGAAGCAATTAAATAGAGCACAATAATCTGAAAAATATAATCAACATCGCACACACAATTGACACAGTCAATTTTAGCGTGGAAAAAACTCCCCGATGTGGGAAGTAGAAAACCACGGGACCGTAGTCACTAAACCTCCACTATCAACAAAATAATAGGTGTACAAAAAGTTCTCCCTAGTTAGAACTAGAGGTAATCAATCTCAAGAAATAATCTTTCTTGGCAACAAAATATCTTTTAATCAAAGATTAAGGAAAGATCTCACCAAAAATAGAGTTACTATTCACGGACCCAAAACTGATCTAAAATGCTCGAAATCCAATCTCTACCGTTCAGAATGTAGAGCCTTGTATTGTAAACCCACCTGCCAAATTTCAGCTCGATCGGACCACAAACACCTGCTGATCGAAGCCCTTGATGAAGTCTAGTTGCACCTTGAAAAACCAATTCTATGGAATTTCTCTCTCTGTTTTTACGCTACAGAAGACGCCGCCTCACACTTTTTTTTTCCTTCTGCTGAATACAGCATAAGCATACATATATATAAGTCTCTATATGGGCTTCATACCCACATGGGTTTTACTTGGGCCTCCTCAAATTAGGAGGGAACCCAGCCCAACATTTGTTTTTGATAGCAAAATGAATTTGTGTCTTGGAATGGAAGTTGAATTCCAAACCAAATGACTTGAACATTAAGTAGACATTATGGAAAATGTTTTAAATTTTTGTAGAAAATTAATGAAGCTAGGGACAAGTATAAAAGAAAAGGGCGAGGAGATGACGGCGACGAAGAAATTGACAGATATGTAGCAAAGAATGGACATAAACTTGTTTGTGTCCACAGATTTAACCTTAATTAGCACTAAACTATTCATGATTATTCCATAACAATTGTCTCCAACTCTAGAGAAATATATAAAGAATTAAGAATGTGTTAAGCATTACTACAAGTAAAGCAAGTACTTAGAGTTTAAGTGTCATGTGTTTGGTTCTCTACTGGTGAACCATAATTTTTGTGATTATGTTCATTATAGGGACACTTTTGAAGGGCTTTTTTGTCATTGCATAATCCTATGTTGGAAATTCCATTCAATCAACACTTTCTTTTTATTCAAAGGAAATGATGTATTTCAAGGAATTATTATAAATGGTGATGCAAATACAGCTCATAGAAAAGAGCTTGTCTTTAATGACTTGAACCCGGGTCTGAACTATTAACCGGGTCCTTACCTGAATTCGAGGTCGTCTAAGGGCATCAAAGTCCTATCCAATATCAATACATAATATATATACATCATCTCAAGACTCATAGTACATCATATCTCTAACATCACATAAAACTCACAAATGCAGGTGGATAAGGTACGTCGACCATCACTTCCTTCCCATGACCTGAGAATAATAAAGAAGGGGTGAGCACTATGACTCAGTAGAAGTCGCCTAAGGCGTCAACTTTGGACTCCCTTGGTCACGTAACACATAATGGGGATGGAAAAGAAATCGAGGTCATACATTAGGAGTCCATCCAATAATCATAGCATAAATAAGCATCTCATCAACCATACACTACAAATTAGCAAAATGCCATGCATGATTTGAAATGTAATGCACCCTGTCCCACGCTTGGTCTCTACTGACCCAATTCTCACTTTTCGAAAACCGCTAACCAACTTTAACAAGGCGAGATTGATAGCTATCCCTGGTTCCAAATCTGACAACCATTTGGGGCCTAGTATTAACTTTTTCACGCCTTACACCTGTCCGCGCTCCTTCTAGGTCAAGTTAGGTTCGGACTCGTGAAATTCAGTTCATTTTATAAAAACTCCCCATTTTAAATTTTAAAAAAAAAAATTATATAAAAACTTTCTTCTTCAAACCCTTTTTCAAATCTTCTTTCTTGCCATGTCGTGAAATGCACCACTTTTCATCTCTTAACATCAACTCAACAATATGGCAATAATATCATTTACATGGCACTCACAATTCAATAAATTTAAACAAGGCATTTTATAGCAATCAAACAAAATCATGTCATACTTTGAAAATTAAATACTAAAGGGACATTGTTTACATCATTATTTCAAGTAAGACATTTACAAGATTTATCCATAGGCATGATCAACATAGAATCATATACACATGAATGACATGCTATCACTTATACATCAACACAACTTCCATATAACAAAATCATGCGTACCTTTGACACAAAATTTAAAACAAGTCATGCTTTAACACCTAGTCATATTCATAAGGCATCACTTTCATCTCATAATATGCAAATCTCAAAATATATAAAATATATATATATATATATATATATATATATATATATAATTTGTTCAAATAAAAGAAAAGGCTTGAGGCATTAGAAGAACCCCTACCTCGATATGGAAGAAAAACCCCAAATCAGCCAAAACTCGAAAATCCCAAGTGCTCCAATCGAGAATCGGCTCCAATCAAAATGAAGCCTTCGTCGTGCTCGTCGACTTTGTCTTCAGTGACAAAGTTAAAATCCCAAAGGTTAAGCCTAGATCTAAGCTTGCTTGTGGCAAAAATAAAAATAAAAAATGAAACTGGGAGAAAGAAAAAGAAAATGCATCAGAGGGAAGGAAACAAGGGTCAATTAATGACCCTAAGGTCACTTACAATGGTATATAATAATGGTGGGTCCTATGTCCTTATAAAAATATCTTTCTTAATATTAATATACATACATACATACATACATATATATATATATATATATATATATATATATATATATATATACATACATTAAACACTTTATGACCACATAATTAAACATGCATCCACATAAATGTACATCAAATAATAATACATGAAATGCAATAAACCCGAAACACAGTCCCCGTGCTCAGCAACTCCGGGAACAGTCCCCACCTAGGACTTCTTGACTCGAAAAACGAAAAAATACTGAAATGGCAACCAATGCATTTCCAAGAGTCTTGAACTCAAGGAAATGTTCCAACCACCCCACAATGTCTGGAACGCAAAACGAGACAAGGCTAAAATAATCCAAAAAAATCAAAAAATTCCCGAAAAATCGAAAATAGAAAAATGAGTAACATTACAATCTACCCATATGTCAGCTTCCAGTGTCGCCACATGTCAGCTTCCGGCCTCGCTAAGTAGCTCAACTTCCGACGTCGCCACGTTTCAGCTTTCAGCGTCGCCCCATGGCAGCTTCCGCCGGCGTGTTGCCAAGTCGAAGTCTCTCATATGCCATGTGTCAGATTCTAGCGTCGCCATATGTTAGCTTCCGGCATTGCCACGTGTCAGCTTCCAACGTCTCCAAGAGTCTACCATATGCCACGTGTCAGCTTCCGGCATCACCGCATGTCAGCTTCTGGTGTCACCAAGTGGCTCAGCTTCCGATGTCACCACATGTTAGCTTCCGACGTCGCCACATGTCAACTTCTGGCATCACCAAGTGTCTCAGCTTCCAGCATCGACATATGTCAGCTTTCGGCGTCGCCACATGCCACGTGTCAGCTTCTAGCGTCACCAAGTGGTAATCTCCCACATGCCACGTGTTATCTTTCGGCGTCGCCAAGTGGCAGCCTCCCATATACTTATTAAGCTGCTTCTATACTCGTAACACTTGTAAGAGTACTAACAAGGCCACACAACTTTTACATTCTCTAAGTTTGACAAGCAAACACAAGAAAAGAGGGCAACTGATACGGAATATTCTACCAGCTTGGAGACGTGTAGTCCAAGAGGTTGAATAAACTACAAGTGGCAAGAATAAAGACAATTACTCTTTCTGATAACTATTTCACTTCATGATGAAAAAGTCAAGAGAAGTAGTTACCTACCATTAACTCTCCTATAAAAGGAGAGATCGGACAACTCAAAAGGTACGACACAAATCCTTAAGAAAGTCCTTTCACCTTCTTTCCACCCTCCTGATCTAGTACTGACTTAATCGTCGAAAGCTTTTAGACCGTTACCACACCGGTGCCCCTTAATCACCTTTCTCTTTCTTTTTCAGGTATGATGTCATTCCGGGTTGCGAAATCTTGCATCCACACATATCTTTTTAACTACTGGGGAATAATAATAATAATAATAATACATATCTTTTTCAACAATAAAGTATTAATTATTAACTAATACAAGTGTAAATTATGCACAACTGAAGTATCATCTTTTTCAACAATAGAAGTTCCCAAAAAAATAAACACATTTGCCAACTATGTGCACAATTACACACACAAACTTCTATTGGGTCATTTTGGCTACACTGTTTCAAAGATAGAGCCTGCATGAGTATGTAATTGAAGACATGGTCTGTTTACAAACATATATATATTTTTATCCTCTGCATGTGTATACAGAGAAAGTTCAACACAAAGTTATTGTGAAGTAACTAGAGTTTGTCGATGCTCTCAATACATTTTGCACCATGAAATCTTTACAGCATAACAGAAGGTTGGTGCTCATTCAGATATGTCTCAGCAAGAGTGGTGTGCAGTGCTGCCCCAATTGGAAGGACATCCTCATCAAGAAAGAAGTGAGGAGAGTGTGGCGAGTAAACTGACCCCACTTTCTCATTTCTTATTCCTATGTTGAGCATGCATCCAGGAATCACTTCTTGATAGAAGGCAAAGTCATCCCCTGCCATCACTTTGCTAGACACCTTGACATTCTCGGGACCGAGCAGGAGTCCACCGACCCTCTCCACATGCTGGTGCAACGTCAGGTCATTTACACAAGCTGGATATGCTGGGTAATCCTCTTCTTTCATGTTAACATATGCAGTACACCTGTGTACAGCCGCCTGTCCTTCGATGACCTGTGAGCTCCATAAATGTGGACATGATTAACTTGACATGAATTAGCCGAAGACTTCATGTTTACAGAAACAATTTAGAAAATTTTCAGACTTCGAAGGCATTCAAACCCATCGACACTGGCAGCAAGGTGTTCCAACTTAAAAGCACCCTATAAGAGAACAGTTCGAATAACACAGGCGGAAACATGGACTTTTTTGTCTCAAATTTTCAAAGCTTAATTGCATAATCATACCATTCTATGGCTTCGCTCCAAATATTGAAAATGAATATCAAACATGAAGCGTTCGATTTATCCAAAAGTAAAGGTTTAGGATTAGTGAATACCTCCTTCACCCTCTGCTGGAGTTGGATCAAACCTTCAGTGGTGAGACTCCTCAAAGTACCCCCTAGTTCAACATATGATGGAATTACATTTAATGCCGTCCCACCTCTGACGTAAGTAACAGACAGCACCTTCAGCAAAAACCCAAGTATTAGAATTAAATCAACTTAAGCATCCTATATGCTAAACGTTTCCTATACGTTCCATTTTTCTCTATTCCAAGAAATAAGCACCCAAACTACCAAAAGAAGATGCCAACTATTCCAAATAAATTTTATTACAGTCGTGTTAAAGCAGCAGTGAGAGAAAATTTCTTTAAATGAAAATATAAATTAAATAGGCAAAGCTTTAACTTATAGTCATAAGAGAAACATGCATCGGAGCTGTTTCAAAGGGTCAAGGGACTATATCATCAGCAACTGCCATATTTCAGTACGTTCAAATACAATAAAGCAGAGGGGAAACTCGAGATTGTATAAATAGATAAATAGGAGAATACTTGACTTTGGAGGGGATCTGTTTCTCTTGAGATGAGCTGTTGCAATGCCAACATTGTAAATGATGCAGCAATTATTGGGTCCACAGCAGTGTGGGGTCCTGCAGCATGCCCACCTTTTCCTTCTATTTTCGCTTCAAAGAAGCACACAGCAGCTACAAAAGGTCCTGAAATGGTTGCTATGCTTCCCGTGGGTATTGTAAAATCAACATGCATTCCAAATATTGCTTCAGCACCACCAAGAGCGCCTTCCTTTATCATGTGAGATGCACCAGCCCCTCCTTCCTCAGCAGGTTGGAAAAGAAGTCTTACAGTTCCCTTCAACACCAAATAAAGCAAAAATTAGGAAATTTTAACAGGAATAGTAAATCTGTAAGTTCAGTTTAGATGAGATGGAGTACCTCCACGTAACAATCTACATAGGAACGTAATTTAAATATGGAGAGAGAGAGAGAGAGAATTTCTACTGATAAGGGAAGCAAAAAGCACATTCATGATTAACCTAGTCAATTAACCAAATGATTCACCATTCATTTATAGGGTGCTTCAACAGTCCAGGAGCATGAATGTCCCATTTTGAATTTAGATGCAAGCCACAAATTGGTTGTTTCAAATTGAATAACAAACAAAATAAGAAAAGAAAAGAAAATATGATCTGTCCAATTATAACTATCCCAAATAGAGACTGTAATTTTAAAATACTGCAACAAAGAAAATTAACTGGTTCAATTTTGTTTCGTCCAACCTCCATTTGGCAACCTGACAACTATATAAGTTGAAGACTGATATATTTTAATTTTCCAACACAACAAGAAAGAAAACAATTAGAAAAGAAATAATCTGTAACCTCCAGCTTTTTCTACTCAAATACTTCTCTTTTGGAGGACTCCAGGAGGCATGAAGCATAAGAAACCATAAAAAAGATGATTCTCAAATTCTGAAAAATGGTTGATTTAGAATATAATATATATAATAGTTTACATAACTTCACCGAATCACTCCTTACCCAAAAAAATAAATAAAAATAATTCACAGAATCGTTAGGCAATGCTCTCTGGAGTTATTCAGCCACAAAGTCTCGGTCTCACTCTCTTTTTCTGTGATTTTCAGTCTCTCCATCATCCACTCAAAATCCTAAAAGCCCTTATATATCGGGCTACAAGAGAGTACTAAATAGGGTCCACAACCCGTAAGCAAAAAACTGGTCAAAAATTTTCCTCAGGGGCAGACCCAAACTCCCAGAGCATTCAGCAGGTCGTCAGGTTGTGTGCGACTCGGCACCAATGACTCAACAGTAATTTGCAGGAAAGAGGAATAGTGATTGTATCTGTATGCCATAACTGCTGCTCAGCTAATGACTCAACAGAGCAGCACCTGTTCTTTTCTTGTGGCTTTGTAAAGCAAATGTAGAGTTGGTTTGATGTTGGTCTTACCCTGGAATATGCCTACACTAAACCTTGTTACAAATACTATAAAATCAAGATGGGTAACATCCCTTGTTTTCTTGGTATGTCACAGTTTAGGAAAAGGTTAACTACAAACACATTAGACATAAACATTACTTGAAGAATGTGATATATCAGCAATGCATTAACCATTTTTCATGCCACATCCAAAGTCATTGGTGTACTCAAATTACTTATTCTGTTTTTCAATCAAATCATATCAGCAAAAAAGAAAGCATTCTGGAAATGTCTCATGTTAGGCTAGTTGAAACAATCCAAAAAAAGTTGGTTTACACCTAAGAATGCTCAAATTAAAAAAAAAAAAAATGTGTTACAAACAATTGCATTATTATTACTATATTTCCGTATAAGGAGATTTTATGCGGCAAAAATATTATTGGAAATAATTTTAAACCTCCCAGTCTCTTGTTCCTGCATCATTCTTGTCAATTGATTATCAAATTCTCATTCTTACAAGACGAAAAGAAAAAGAAGAGATCTTATTTTTACCACCGCTGTTAGCCCAAATGGTGTCTTTTGTGACAAAGGACGAGGTTGGGGGTTGAAGTCCCAGACATGGGAATGCATCTATCAGATATTGAAAGAGATACTCAAATTCTCATTCTTGACAAAGACAATCCAAGCAATCCGAAGGAAACATAGTCATCTTAGGAAGAAGACAATCTGTATCAGTTAAAAGCCTAAAACCTCTGGTCAACCCTAAGTAAATCGCATAAGGCTTTGAGGGGTTGAATCAGTTTTATTCTCTTGTGCAAGTGAGTTAATTTTCCACCATCTGAACTTCAGAGGACATATCGAAACTAATGATCCAACCCAAGGAAATCAATCATGTCTAAAGATTTTAAACTAAATTTTACCAGTCACATAAATCATTGCATCATGAATTGAAATTTCAACCGTAAGAAACGAAACTGCATACACAATTCCCCTGAAAAATTAATATAGAAGTTGCATAAGCTCATGAGGAAAGCAAACTTAGATAGTTCAAGCTCATGAGCACTGCAGCCAACCATTCGAAGTTCATCACATGACGATTTAGCACATAACCCCTCTTGCAAGAGTATAATTGACAAAAACTATACAACAAACATTTTACTTTGAATAAAAAAAACATCCAAACACAATTTACTCCACCGTACATTAAACTATACTTGTGAATTTAAAACACACCTTAAATTTATCTTTTCGTTGATTGAGTAACTTGGCAGCACCAAGCAGCATCGTTGTATGGGCATCGTGTCCGCATCCATGCATTTTACCATCAATTTTGCTCTTATGCTCCCAATCAACTAGCTCCTATATATATATATATATATAATCAGAATAATAGACTTATTAAAAGTTAAAACACCAATACAGATGAAAATGTATGTATACATGTATATGTGAGTGTATGTTTCTATTATGTTTTTGAAGAGAAAATTTGGTATCCGAATTATACCTGCAAAGGGAGGGCATCTATGTCGGCTCGCAGAGCGACGATCGGGCGAGAACCGGAGCCAATTTGAGCGACCAAACCGGTTTTGGCAAATGGGAAATCGTAAGAAATGCCAAGAGTGTCCAGTTCTTTCCGAATAAGAGTACTGGTGTTGTGTTCTTCGAATCGGAGTTCTGGGTTTTCATGGATTTTCCTTCTTATCGAGACTAACCAATCTTTGTCTTTCTTTGCTAATCTCAGAATTTGACTTGCGTAGTCTTGATCATACTCATACTCACCCTGAATCGCCAAAACACAAGTGACCCATAAAAGCAAAATGGGTACAAAAATTGGACAACCCATGTTTCTGAAAGCAATTAAAGTACTTTCTGAAAGCAAAATCAGTGGTGGTTGTGAAAATTAACAAGAAGAAAAACAAATAAAACAGTTTCAATTGAATTCCAGAGAGATCATCTGCACTATTAGACTGATGGGATGGCCTTTAAAGTTGTTACCGAATATTGTCTGGTGAAATTTGTGAGCTTCAACTACCTGGTTCATCACCAAACTTGAATTTGTTGACTTATACTGAATTTGTTTTTATTATATTTTGTATTAAAAATACAATAACATAATTTTAAACCTTAGATTTTATTTTTATAATTTAAAGTTTCAATCTTTTATTTTTCATAAATAAATAATAGTATCCAAAATCCAGAAGGAGAGCCGCCTTCTCCAAGTGACACAGAGTGGGGGCTTCAGACTGAGCTTGGATTGAGAGGTTTGTAATCTTAGCCCAACCCAAATCCAGTTTATATTTAATAATATTTATTACCTTTTTATTATATTAAAATAAACAAAAATAAAAAATTCAAACAAATTGCAGCATCTAAAGGATAATTACTAAATTCCAATGAACATCTTTTGTAGTAATACCTTTTAAATTTCCTTCCCCCCCTTTTTTTTTTGTTTTCTCCAAATATTATAAATATAAAGGATAGCTGTACTGAAAATGGATATAGCAACTTGGCCCAACAAACTGATGGACCAGAGTTGATCCAAGCCTGTGAAAACACAAATGGGCCTAAAAATCAAACCCAACCAGCTCTGTTGCTGGAAAATACGCCTATAGAAATAAGCCCAACATGCCTTGCGACAAGTAATGGAGAATCGCTAAAATTCAAATCATTGAATTAATTTAGGCGTGCTCGTATTTGAATTCCCCCCATCTAACAAAACCATCGAACTAATCTCGATGTTAAGAATTGCATAAATCTATAACTGTGGAGAATTTGTTTCTGATATCAAAATGAATTTGTGTCTTGGAATGGGAGTTGAATTCCAAACCAAATGACGAGATTGTGGAAAATGGTTATCTTTTTCTGTAACTCTATTCCCACAATTGAGATCTTCACATTTAACCCATGTCATTTTAGACCAGAATTTTGGTAATACATAGGGTGCGACTTGGGTTGGGCAAGTTAATCATTTTTATAATTAGGGTCAGGCTTGTGTCAAAAAAATCTCAATTCGTATTTAATTAGGGTCAGGCTTGTGTCAAAAAAATCTCAACTAGTATTTAATTAGGGTCGGGCTTGTGTCAAAAAATCTCAACTCATACTTAATTAGGGTTGGGCTTAAGTTGAGGTGCTAGCAACCCGAGTAAACTAAAACACGAATTATAATATTATTTTTATATATATTTTAACTTTAAATGCATTATATCCCTTCAAATTATGATCATCTTTTTGTTTTCAATTTCCTTTGTATATTTACTTTATAAGCATTTGTTAGTAATTTATTAAAAATTTGCAATTAATTTTTTTAATATTTTTTGTTTAAAAGTAATTTAATCAAATTGGTCATATGAGAAACCTGAATTAACCCCCTTTTGAAACCAAAATCTAATCCCGAGTTTAAAACTAGAAGGATGTTACAAACTCGAGTTTACTAGTAGGATGGGTGTAGTTAGGGTTAAAGGTAATGTTAGGGTTGAACTTGGGTTAAGTATTTCATATGTCGAGTTGGACTTAATCTGTACCTCCAACCCGCCCGAATTGCAGCCTATACATCCTCCAGAACTGCATGGGGATACCTTTCATTCAATCCTTTCTGCTATACCTTCCATTTAATCAAACAAAAAGCGAATGAGACACTTGATCTTCCATAAGAATGCCTCATGTCTATCCCTCCTCTCTCCCTTCCCTCCATTTTTTCTTCACTCCAACCAAACGGTAAAGCAAGAAATGCATATCCTTGACTCATCACAACTGCTTCTGACCCACTACTTTTTCTAGTGGATTAAAATGAATGCTTCTATTAGGACTGGCTACAATTAATAATAATATTATTGTTGTTGTTGTTATTATTATTATTATTTTGTTGGAATAATAGGCCAATTAATAATATAACAATAGAACCTCCAAGAGCGGGATGAATATAGGAATGAAGTTAGCCTAGGAATGATAAATATAATCACCAAGAAGGAGATAGTGCACACTTACAAAACCATGAAGTAATAAAGCGACACGGACGAATAATGTACCATGGTGAATGCTAGGTAATGTAAGAATTGAGTGGTTAACAAGGTTGTTGAACAACATTCTAAAATAAGGCAAGATGCCATATGAGTAAAGGACAAGTACAATAATACCAATTTACAAATAAATAAAAGGGTATATACAAAAGTGTGACAAATACAAAGAAATTAAATTAATGAGTCACACAATGAAATTATGAAAAATTGTAAATAGAACAAAAGCTAATTAAGGATTCCATTGTATCGTATTAGGTCAGTCTATAGTCTTTGTAGACTTAGAAGTGAGAAAAAAAACGTATGATAGAGTCCCAAGAGATAATCCAGTAGGCTCTACAAAGAAAACATATCCCCTCACGGATAAAAAGTATCCAAGAGATGTACATGAACACATAGACTAAAGTCCGCAGCATATGTGGTGAAACTAGTGCCATGAATGTAGGATTACACTAAGGATCAATGCTAAGGCCATATCTATTTGCTACAATGAAATTAGAGAGTTCTGAGATGTGATTCCTTAGTGCATGATGTTTGCAGATGATTTAGTGCTCTTAGACACTTCAAAAGAGAACCTAACAACAAAATTAGGAGTGTGGAGAAATGTGTTAGAATCGAAAGGATTGAGAATTAGTCAAAAACTAAAACTGAGTATATGAAGTACAAGTTTAATAAAGACTTGGTCATTGATAATAGGGTTAATATCATTTGCCATAACTATCTGCGAGTTGTGTTATACGGAATGGGATGTGGAAGCTTATGTTAAGAATAACCTAGTTTTCCAAGTGTTTGTGTGCTCCCAGTGTAACGTCGCGTCTGTGTAGCCCTCAATTTCTTTCGAACATTCCCTTCGTTTCCTCACAGTTCGAACAAAGCCCTCACCCTAATTTTCTAAGTGTTTGTTTGAACAAAGCCCTCACAGTTCGAAGAGGTTAGTGGTTGTGAAGTTGTTGGATTCAAGGTGGTTGTGTCACCTTTGTTCGACAAAATGTTGCCGGGCATGGGCCACTTTTGACTGATTGTCGATGATTTTAGTAATGCGGTTTTATATTCTTTCCTTTTCAACGTGGGTCCTTGTGATGGTGGGTTGGTTTGATTCCATATGTTATTATACTAAAAAGATTAGGACTTTATTTAGTGTTGTGGTCCCATATATTAAATTAGTGTTTTGTCTTTTTGGTAAATAAGTTATTGTGTAATTAGGGATTTATATATTCATAATTAATTCTTGAAATTCTTTGGCATATTTATTTATTTTTTTTTTTTGGTTGAAATTAGTTGCTTAAAATTAGGGTTTTGTTGTCAGAACTGTTAATTTTTGTATATGGAGTGAAATTTGATGTTTAAAATTTGGGTTTATTGTTTTGTCAAAAGTGTTGAAGTTTTTATTTTGGTTGAATATTTTTGTTTAAAGTATGTGGTGTTGTAATATGTAATTAGTTTATTTTTTTAATGTGGTTTAGGTTTTAATCATGCTTTTCAGAAGTTGTACACACGTATCAAAAGCTATACGTTGGTGGGTCTATTGAGAACTATAAGGGTATAGACGGTGATCGGATGTAAATGATCGAATTCAAATTCATTTTAAGTTTGTGTGGTTGTCCTAGTACAAGTACGTTATTGTACATGTCATACATTGATTGGAGGGTTAGTAAAGTGAAGATGACATGGATTCACTTTTACTTCTTTTTCTTTTTTTTTCTACATGTCATACATTGATTGGAGGGTTGGGAAAGTGAAGATGACATGGATATCACCGCGTTTTTTTCGAAGTGAACTGGCTCTTGTCGAAATATATAAATATTTTTATATAATTATGGAACAAATTTCTCTATCAATCATAGTCTTTCGGTCAATTTCTTTTCAATTATAAATATTTTTATATAATGGTAGAACAAAATTCTTCACCAATCATGATATCTCTTTTAACTATCGTACACCTTTCATATTTTATTATCTTTTTCGTGCCTATATATAGGCTCTTTGTACTCGGACAAAATATATCTTAATAATAGAAATGTAATCTTTAATGGCACTTTGTCCATAGATGTAAGTTTTAGTGTCGAATCATGTATATGTATGTATTCTCCATCTTTCCCTCTTTTCTTTTCCTATTTGCATTTCTTATTTCCGCACAGTCCTGCATTGTTAAAATATATGTAGTGTCAGGAAATGAGTATGATGGAAATGCAGAAGATGAGTATGACGGAGATAATTGCGAGAGTTTATGTATGTATGGATTTTTTTAGCAATTCAAACCATTTCACTGACATGTATGTATGGTTGATGACAATGAATAGTTTTTTTTAGGAACTAATTATGGTTGTGACAGTATATGTATACGGATGCTAATCTCAATCAATCAATACTAGTGATAAAGTTTGATGACAATTGTATGTATGGTTGATGACATTAGATAGATTTTTTTTTTTTTTTTTCGGTATGTTTAGTACAATGTATGGTTGATGACAGTTGATTGAATATTTCTACAAATTATGACACTTTGCATACAGTTCGATTACAAAAGATAACAAATTGCTCCATTACTTCCCAAAAAGGGATTGTCATGGAATTACATATCTTCATTACACTTGGCCACAGAGATTATACATTCCTTCCAAACGACAACTAATTGCATCAACATGGAACTTCAACTAAGCAATTACATCTTCCTCACTTTGATCATATCAATTGGACTTGCTTTCGATCGCTTTTGTATATATTGGTATTGTTGAGATGGGCTCACACCATGCCCATTAAGATTTTTTTTTTGGCACAGACATATTATATCTTGCCGTTGTAGTTAAACTCATCATCCGAACCTGTCACTCCGACAATAGTTGGCAAGCCACAACCACAGATTATGTTGCTATACCTCAGATCTTGCAAAACAAGAGATTGAGTGGTGGGAGAAGACAATGTGCGAATTAAGGTTACAAATGATCAATTTAGGGCTTGCAATATTTTTTAGGTTTAGGCCTTCAAATGATCAATTTAGGCCCTTGCATGATAGAAATCGAATGATTTGGGGCTTCAGACAACTTTGCTTCGCAACAATGGAGGTATGCGAATTAGGGCTTCTGTGATGTGTTTGCTTCACTTCACTTACAATGGAAGAAGCAGAGGAATTGGGTTTGCAAGCAAGGCACGTGATAATTTTAAGGGGTTTAAGAGGGCAATTTGGTCAATACATGATTAAAAAGGCAAATTGGGCAATACGTGATTAAATAGTTGCACGTGACTCTCACGTGTTTTTCTTCCATTAGTTTCAGACTTTTCTTTGCAAACTAACGGTGGGGTTATGTGATACACTTTTGAAAAGTTGAAGGGGGATGTGATAATTTCTTTAGCCAAAGGGGTTAGATGATAGTTTAGGCATAGTAGAAGGGGATTTTATGATTTTATAATGTTTAACACTTCAAAACCATAAAATTACTCAAAACAACCCACCACCATTTTCGATATCTACAAAAGTCTGGAGAGAGTAATATAACTAGTAGGATCAAAATAATTCTGTACGACCGCTATTATACCACCTATGTTGTCTGGAGCAGGTTGGACCAAGTGGAGAAAAGCAAGCAGAATTTTATGCGATAAATTAATAACATATAAGATCAAAGGAAAATTCTATACGACCATATAAGATCAAAGGAAAATTCTATACGACCGCTATTATACCAACTATGTTGTATGGAGCGGAGTGTTGGACCCTAAACAACAAGAGCATGGCCTTCATGTATTCAAAATGAGAATGTTAAGATGGATGGGAGGAGTGACTAGGAGGTATAAGGGCACTAATGAGAGTGCAAGAGATAAATTAGGGATGACTCCCATTAATGAGAAAATTAGAGAGTATGCTTAAGATGGTTTGGACACCTTCATCATAGATGCACCGGCAAGCGAGGATAATTAGTTATAATAAAAGGTGAGAGGAAAACAACAACCAAAAATAACATCCGATGAAGTTATTAATTGATTTTAAAAAGCTAAATATAATAGGCAAAACGGCATGTAATAAGAAAGATTGGAGAAAGAGAATTCATGTGACCGACCCCATTCATATGAGATTAAGGCAAAAATGACGACGATGACGATGACGCAGCAGCACCAGAAGAAGAAGAAGAGGAAGATGAATAGAGAGCAGTTGAGATGATTGATTTTATGCTTCCTGCTCACACGGCTTTAGATTAGCTTTTGTCTTGCACCCTGCAGAAGTTACTAAGGTGGCAGAGGAAGCACACAAACATATCCACAGATAGCTGTTGTATATAAAGCTAGACTCGAATTAAAAGTCGACTGTATATAGATATGGATACCAATGTAAACAAACGGAATACACCTATTAATGCTAACACAAAGATAAGAGTTCCTTTCTCTAAACAACTTCAAATTGCAAGGCTTTTTAAAAAGCCAACGAAAATTATGTACAAACCTATAGCCAAGAGTACCCTAAGCATAAAATCAGATGATATTGATACTGGAGAAGCCTCTGAGGAAGCAGAGAGAACCTTCTCGGTATTGCCCATCACAGTAGTGCCTTTTGACCTCTTCTTACCCAAAATGAGTTTTTGAGTAAATTTTCTGTGATCCATGGATTCTGAGAGGGATACTTCTTGGATTTCATCAATGGTAGCTACTGCATCAGCAGAAGCAGAAACACGCTGTTCCGTAACATTTTCAGTCTGCACGGGGGCAATTAAAGAGAATTAAATATCTTCTGATATGCATTATGAAATTCTTCACAAACACTTCAGCAATGGACAACTCACCATAGTCACTTTTGGGTTGGCATCATGGTTTTCTTCACTATTGCTAAACAAGTTGATACAGGAAACTGGTCCCACTTGAAGGTTCTTCTGCAAACGGATTCTTCTTGGTGCAGTTCCATATGCAGCAGATTTTTGGGCGCTTGGTTGATTTTGCAGTTGACGAGTTCTAGTTCCTCTCTTTATTCCAGTTTCAACCATCTCAACACCACCAAATGCACTGCCACAAGAGCTTGATTCAGCAGACAAAGCATTACATTCACCAGTAAAATCAGCAGCTAAAGCACCCAATCCAACAGAATTATCTTGCAGGAAACCAGAAGCACTGCAATGCGAAATAGCACAAATTTGAGGAGTTCCCCACGTTGCTGGAGACATTTCCATATGTGTAGGAGCCGTTCGGCTGAAGTTTAGACCAAAGCATTCACAACTTTCCATCACTGGATCAAACTGGAATACAGGAGAGCCACAAAAATTTTAAGTTTCAAAGAACTAATTGCAATTCATGGCATGTGTAAAAAACATAGATTGACAAAATTCTCAAGTATGGTCGTGGACCTGCAAAACCTAAAAAATGAGGATCTTGGGAGCTTCAATTTACCTGTCCTTGGGTCACTGATGATATAGCAGCATACGGCTTTGTGGGAGTATTATAGTTCAGAATCTCACTGTTTGTGTCCTCAAAGGCTTGCTCTCCTAAGTTAACAAGAACTGAATCCACGAATTCTGAATCCAGGAATTCAGTAAAATCCAGTTCATTTGATCCACATTGAAACTGAACCCCATTGTGGTCATTGCTTGTGTTATTAGTGGCCGGGAAATTCGAGTAAGAAGATCCAAGCTCCATCTGCATCTGCAAATGCAATGGAGAGAAGATTTTTTCATCTGGTGGCCCCAGCACTGGGTCACAAAATGCTTTCAACATTTCCTCCAGCTCTGGATCCGACTGAGTGAGAATCAAGAAATAAAATTCAAATCCTTAAATTAGAATTTTCAGTTTCCAAAAAAAATGAGATTTGATAATATTAAGAAAGTCTTCCTCTTTTTACCTGCACATCTACCACTTGATCTTCAGCATCCTCATAAACATGGATATTGCTGTCACACTCAGAAGGTAATGGAGTGTCAAAGTGAATGCTTTCAGAATTACTATAAGTTTGATTTTCAGCTTCTGCTGTCATCACAGGGGTTACTGCCTCCAATTCAGCATATGGTTTAACTGCGGCAGGAGAAGGAACATTTTTTGTTCCTAGTTGATACTCACACACCCCAGGAGAAGGAACATTCTCTTCAACTTCACCACAGTTTGAACCTTCAATGACATCATCGTGCTTCTCATCATCTTTCTTAAAAAGGCGACAGAGGACAAACGCTCCCTGCAGAATACATAGAATGCCAAATATGAATTTAATATATTGAACATCTCTGCTCAACCAATATCTTTTAACAAGCTGATCCATTATTTGAATACAAATTGTTTTGAGTATAAAAAATGTGGCAGTGAGAAAATCAAGAATCTGAATGAACATTTATCAGGTGGATTTCCCTTAGTACACATGAATTTAAGGGGTCATTCACCCAATGTGTCCCCATTAATCGAGCCAAGAAGGGTAACACTTTTTGCATTCTTAGTACACACAAATTTAAAGGGTAACTAATTACCCAGTTAAAGCTAGGAGGAGCACACTGAATAGACATTAAACCTTTTAACATTTTTACGACATGAATTTTTAGGACAGTATATAAATCTAACCCAAGCAGTAGTTTTGAAATAAAAAGGACACTGAATTGACAAATTTTAAAAGGTAAACTCCTTATTTACAAAATTTAGTAACAAACTGAAACATCGAGGCTGAAGCATGTTACTTGCTTAAATTCCCATAAAAAAGACAAGCCTGGCATAGTAGTACAAGAAAACAAACTATCAAACAGAATAGAAGAAGAATCAACTAATCTGCAGGTGCTTTGAAAAATTATAAAAAGAACAATCAGTAAATTTTTTGTTTTGGTAAGGAACAATCACCAAAATTTTCCTTCAATTAAATACAAGAATTTTTTTCCAACAAAAAAAAAAAAAAAAAAAAAACCTCATTTGCATCCCAAAGTAGTGGAGGAGATGCCACTAGGCTACAGACCCCCTTGGTGGTAGGTAATACAAGAATTTTCTAACATATCATTATAAATAGAACAATCAGTAAAATTTTCCTTTAGCTAAAAACAAAATTTTTCTAACATTACCAAGTGGAGAAAATTGCTCCATGCTGCAAAGTATTTCAACTAGACCTCCAACAAGGATTGAATCCACTCCATAATTTCATTTCACAAAGTAAAAAGAAAGAACTCCGTCATAAACCAAGTTCACTTAAACCTTAAATAAGCATACAATGTTTGTTGTCTTTTAATTCACAAATTAGTTACACAAACTAAACATGATTCGAGCAAATAGATGTCAAGTACTCGAAGTATCCACAAACCAAGACAGAAACACATGACATAGCCAATACTCAATCTAAAACCATCCAACTTTTAGATCAAAGCAACATACCAACAAAATGGACAGAGAGAAAGGGTTCAAAGCATACCTGTCCTGGTTTCGTCCCGTCAAGCTCCTTCCTAGTAGCACGGTACTCGTGCATAACCCAATGGGATCTGCTGCCATTTGGAGCACGCCCGGTATAGAAGACCAAAGTCTTCTTTCTACCAATTTCGCTCTTATGGGACTTGATCAGCCGATCCCTACCCGTTGCCTTCCAGTATCCACGCTGTGTTGCTCTGTTCAGCCTCTGCCCATTCACATACTTCCGATCCTTTGGACAGAAAAAGAACCATTCGTTGTCATTTGACTTTATCCTAGATAAATCTGCACACACCAAACAAATAAATAGAAAAAGTTTAATTTCCTATTTTAACAAATTGCCCCAAAAGTAACTAGGAGCAAAAAAAAAAAAAGTTTGGCCCAAAATTCAGTAATTGGCAGCTGTATGAACTTCAACCCACATTAAACTAGAATGCACATATACATCTCCATATAATACAATATTTCGTCATTTTTTACAGAAAACCAAACAAAGACCCCAAAATTGCACAATCATGTATATGTAAATCTGGCCATTTTTACATGTACTCGATGAAAAACTATATATATATATATATATATATATATATATATAAACATTGGGTCATTTCTACAGATGATCAATGAAAACCCCCAAAAAATGCACATACATGTATATATAAAAACTGTCATTTTTACAGTTAATCAATGAAAAAAACCCCAAAAAATGCACATACATGTATATATAATATCAGGTCATTTTTACAGACAATCAGTGAAAAACCAAAACCATGTTTGAAAGTGAAGACATGGTATCGACAGATTGCATACAAATAGATAATCAACAAATATTATATACATATATATAAATTCCATCATATTTACACATAATCGATGAAGAACCCAAAAACTCGAGGGAGATCGAAGAAATAATAGTCTTCTATTTCGGATATATTGAAATTACATACCAGGTAAATCCCACGGTTCGAATTTACAAACATCGACCTCACGAATATCAGAGACTTTTCTCTCATCACCGTTGATCTTAAACCTCAAGAAGTGATCGACGAGTTCTTCGTCCGTCGGACGAAATCTGTACCCCACCCGCATTTCGTTGTTGGACATGACAATCATAATTCCGACCTAAAACTAAGAATCAAGAAAGAGAAAACAGAGTAATATAGGGGCTTCAAGAGAAAAAAAAAAAAAACCAATACAACGTGAGAGAGAAGACAGAAAGGTTTCGGAATAAAAACCCTAGAGCAGAATCAAGAAGATAAATATAGAAATACTAAGGGTTCATTGATGAATCGGCCCGAAGCGTCTGAGAAAGTGTAGACAGAGAGAGGGAGAAGGAAAGTGTAGAAAGAAAGAGAGAGTTTTATGAATATAAGAAAAGAGTTTGACGCGTTTAAATGGTACGTATCTACCGTGCAATTACAACTATGTCCCACTAGGGTGGCCAAATGGGGTGAAATAAGGTGAAATTCGTACCAAAGTGTAGGGGCATTTTGGAGAATTGATGAATCTTAGCAAGCAAGCTGAAGGAATGAGTAGTCAATTATATTGAGAAGCTGACACGTGAGATAGATTCGTCAGCTTAAGTACTAGACTCATATTTTGACAAGAAACGATAAGGTGTACATATGTTTCGAGAAGGTTCTCTAAATGGTAACATTCTAACTAGGTGAAAAAAAAAAAAAATTGTGTGAAATAACTACATGAGAAAAAGTAGAATAAAATTGATATATTTATTTGTGTAACATATTGTGGTTGATTGAATCATATAATCTCTATTTAAGTCACAAGTATGAGCACAAGTAAGGAATTTCAGAAAATTAAAAATTATGTATTAAAAAATTTAAGAGTGGAATTTTAAGTACTCAAGTTTTAAAATAGTAATTACAAAATAGGGTAAAGTACAACCACATCTTTTAAGATTCGACAAAAAAACACTCACAGGAAATGTATCTATTTTTTGGACAAAAACAATCCCTGAAAGTTCAAAAATGGACAAAGACATCCCCTTTATATGAGAAATTGACCAAAATACCATTTGACAATTTAAGAGACTTTTTTAACTTTACAATTTAATAAATTGGACCAATCTACCCTCATGAACAATTTATACATAAAAAAAAAAACTCTATATTGTTTTTTTTTTTTTCGTTATTTACTTTATAAATGTCCCAACTTCTTTAAAATGTAGACGTCTAAAATGATATTTTGATCCAATACATATATTTCAAATAAATTATATTTTGTTATTACTTCTTTTCTTTTTATTTTTTATTTTTACATTAAAATGCTTCATTCTTTCGTCTAAAAAAATTAAACCAATTTTTTTTCCTTAAAAAAAAAAATATGATACCAGTATAACTTTATATATCTTAAATTATATATCAAATATTATGTATTTCGCAACATAAAAGGGGAAAAAAAATATTAAAACAAAAGGAAAAAAAATTAATAATAAAACAAAGGGAAAAAAACAAAAACAAAACAAAGGCATACATAAAGTTATACTGGTATCTATATTTGTTTTATGTTGGGGAATGCATAATATTTTATATATAATTTAAGATGCATAAAGTTATACTGGTACCATATTTTTTTATTTTTAAGAAAAAAAATTGATTTAATTTTTTTAGATGAAAGAATTAATTATCTTAATTTAAAAATAAAAAGAAAAGAAGTAATAACAAAATATAATTTATTTGAAATATATGTATTGGATCAAAAAATCATTTTAGACGTCTACATTTTTAAGAAGTTGGGACATTTATAAAATAAATAAATAAATAAAAAAGTGAACAATATAAAGTTTTTTTTTTTTTTTTTTTACTTTTTTTTTATGCATAATTTGTTCATGAGGGTAGATTGGTCCAATTTATTAAATTGTAAAGCTAAAAAAGTCTCCTAAACGGTCAAAGAGTAATTTGGTCAATTTCTCATGTAAAGGGGTATCTTTTTTCATTTTTTAATCTTCGATGGGTGTCTTTGTCCATTTTTTAATCTTCAAAGGGTATATTTGTCTAAAAAACAGGTAAGTTTTCTTTGAGTGTCCTTTTATCAAATCTCATAGGGTGTGGTTGTACTTTACCCTAAAAAATATTTAAAAAATTTCAGGATTTAACCTTTAGCGATAAATGATGTTTTATTTAAATTTTTATTTTATTTTAAGTAATACTCAGCTTTTTTAATAATATATTTTAAGTAGTATTTAGCATTTTCAGTTATAATTAAATTATCATATTAAACGCACTTAATTGAATAAAATGTTTAAAATCTAACAACGATACCTATTTAAAAAAATTAAATAATTTAAATTCAGATTATATAATAATTTTTCAGGAGCGTAAATCAGCCCGGTTGGAGGGCTGGAACCAGTCCTACGTGGGTTGAACCTAATTTCATATTAAAATGGGATTTATTATGCTGGGTATCTAAATAGTTAACTTGATTAGTTGTTCTAGAAGGATCGAGGGAGAGCGATTTGATGTGGATAGTTGCTATGGCAGTTTACGTAAATTGACTTATATTAGCTGACCATTAAAGTTTGAATGCGCATTTTCTTGCTACTTGACAGTCCAGTTGGATTTTGGATATGAGTACTAAATTTCTGTGTTTTTTCAACTTTCTCCACAAATTTAAAATTTTGTTCTTTTAACTTTGTACTCCATTTTCTCAAAGTTTTATTAAGTTTAGGAAATAATTGGCGTATCTCTATTTTAATTAAATTATTGGCGTAATTTCTTGCCAACTTTCGACAAGTATTTTTATTTATTTTATTTTTTTGTCATTGACAAGAAACTCACACACGTCCACTTTACTCATTTAGAGACTCGAACCCTCACCATCCACTTTGTATATATATAATTATTTTTTAATTTATTTTTGCACATATATAAAATATAAAAAAAAAATTATATAATGAGCCCCTAAAAATTTTAATATCTAAAATTATCTCTTTATTTTTTTCTTTTCTTTTTTACTCTTCAAATTCCTTTAATTTCTTAAAAAGGAAAGTTAAATTTCTCTTCTAAAATCAACTCTAATTTTTTTTCTTATAAAGTTCTCATTTTTATTTCATTTTTCTTCTCTATTTTCCTACTTCTTAAAAATTTTCTTTTTGTATAATATATCTAGAATGTAATTTTTTTAATGAAAGTATTACTAAACAATATTAGTCCCACGACCATTTTTGGTTGAACAACCGTAATTTGCTGACCAATGTATTTGTGTAATTAGTCACATCTTGTAATTTAGTAACCAACCAAGATATAATTATATATCGGGTTACGTGCAAAAAAAAAAAAAAAACAACCTCACTATATCCAAAACGTGCAAATATCCCATGTTGTTCAATAAACCTCCTACAATTTTTCAATTCGTTCAAATAAGGACAAATTTACAATTTGAGAGTATTGAGCAATGAAATGACTAAGTTACCCTTAGTTTATTGAAAAAGAAAATAAAATAACGAGGCAAAATGCAAAATGACAAAACTATCTTAAGCTAATAATACAAGAAGATCATGTATATTTGCTTACACCAAAAACCAAACACTCATAATGGGATCTCCGTTTGTTTCAATGATGGCTGCCAAAATACGGCCAAAGTCTCTACATGCCATGGCTTTTCGTTCTTCATCCCCTCTCATTCCTTCGCCAACGAGTTTATGTGTGCTTGGGCTTCCACCTGATGGGTAGTGTGGAGGCTAATAGATACTGTACACCAAGACCCAACTTTGTAAATATTTTGGAGGGTATTTTGGTAATTTTTGCACTTGTTATGTTTCCCTAGTGCAAGGGTATATATTCATTATGAATTCTCTATATCCGCTACTGTTTTTTATCATCATGGTGAAATCTTTACAACCCCTTGGACGTAACCTTAAATTTAGGATGAACCAAATAAAATCTGGGTATTCTTGTTGTGTGTGTTTGATAGCTTTCTTGTATTTTCTATTTAATTTCGCAACGCCACTGATGATTTTCTCTTCTCCAACTCGTGTCACGTCCCGACGATCTCTCTTCTCCAACTTCAAAGTTGCTCCATCTATTATGGCGTCATCAAGTTCTTCATTTTTTGGTTGAAAACCCAAGTTTTGTTCTCTTTTTGTCTCTCTATTTTGTATAAAAAAAGGCCGGACGTACATTTTTTTTGGAAAAGGTTGTCAGACATGTGTATTGCAGCATATCAAGATTAACATACCAACATATACAATCGGTATGTTCTTTTTTTTTTCAGAACAAAAAAGGTAACTTAGGTTATGAACATATGTTAATTTTATTTTGAATGAAATTTCTTTTATGATATTCTTCCACTTATGATGTAGAACTGATTGCTGAAGTCTTTATGTCCCGTTTGGAGGCCAAACGGATATGCTAACAGATTTTCTGGGTTGATCTCGAAGTGTGTATTTTTTACCCGACGTGAGAGTTTTTTGACTGGAAATGACCCAACAAACAAGGCACACCTCTAAGCCATGACATAATGTGTTTTTTGGCGAAATACCATCGTTTAGGGCCTCAAAACGGAGTTTTTCGGTTCGAAATAAACCTGTCGAATATTTCAGAATTTTTTTGCGTTGTCTAAACGAACTCGGATTGCTTTCATATTTTATACTTAGTAGTTTTATTTTATTAGGGTTCTTTCTCTATTTTTCAGAATTTTTAGAGAAACTTTATTTTTAGGCTTATTTTCGGGTACTAGTATTTTTTCGGGATTAGTTTTCCTTATGTTATTAGGATTCAAGTTGTAGTTCATTTCCTTATAGATTAGGGTTTTCTTTCATTATAAATATGTGTATTGATCAAAATCATTCATTCAATTATCAATAATATATTAGATTTATTTGAATTATCTCTTCATTTTGTGGATTCAAAACATTTACTTTGTAGATTCAAACTAAAATGTTCTTTGTAAACAAACTTGTCGTTTCTGTTTACATCAACTTGTTTATTTGGTGGATAATTCAGATGGATTTGTATTTTGTAGTTGTAAAACCTTGAAAATCTTGAATACAATACCTATCTGTCTGTTCAGTCAATTATAAGGTCAATTACGATTGTAACATCCAAATCCATAGTTATAAATATCAATTTTTATTTTGCTAGGTAGGAATTAGTTGTTGCAAATGTGTTAAAAATAAATAAATAAATAAAATAAAATAATATTATTCTATATTTGGGTATTTCTGCTACTTATGAGTGAGAAACGTTCCTAATAAGGTTTGAATCATTTTATGTGGTTGTTCTGATTTAATTATTCACTAAGGATAAAAATAGAGTTCAAGATGAGAGAACACAAGCCTCTATTTTTAGAGAACAAGATGAGAGAGTGGGGAGGTAGTGGTGGTGGATGTGAGTACGGAAGC